GTCCTGGGAAGTGCTCACAGCATACACGTTCACACACTCGGTCACAGCACCGTGTCAGGGAAAAGTAAGGGCAAATAAAATGTTCCGTATGCGGAGTTTCTAAACACTGGCCTAAGTACCTAAAGCAGACGACCTAAGCCACTAACTATCACTTTCCATGATCTTTTGGAATAAAGGGAGGAAAAGTTATTAAGGAAAGTAACTGAGAAAAAAAATATTAGTAAGGAAAAACCGATTCTAAACCAACAGATCGTACGGCTACAGAACGATTTCATGGCTTGTATGCTTGGCCCACCAGACCCACCCGACAAGTTCGCAGGTCAGAAAACCCAATCTATTAAGCCCTCCACGCCTCACACCACCTGTTCATCCAAACATCTCTTCAGACTAGCCCACAGCTCGCCTCTTCGCCAAGCCTCAACGCTTCCCCACCCCCCTTCCCCGTGCGCTCCGAGACCCAGTCCCAACCAGAGGGCCCCTCCGCGAGCTCCTGAAGCAGGGACCGGAGCCCATGCCGGCGGACTTCACTTCTTCTAGGCCTACATCACAGGGACTTGCCCAGTGTCTCCCCTCTCCTGTATCAAACCGCGCATTCCCTGAGAGCAGGGGGCCGAGCTTCTCAACCAACCACCCAAGCAAGGTAACACCTAAATACGAACCTGGAAGTATTTTTGCAAGAATGCTCTTAACTAACGAACGTCAACTGATTTAAAATGATTACAGCAATCCTTTCAAAGCACTAACACATACATCACATTTTTAAAGATTTGTACCCACGCCCCCATAAAACACTGAAAATATTCTAACACTTCCAGGGCAAAGAGCTAAGTGGAAATCGCAGCTCACCAGAACTCACTGCCCAAAGACTCTAGAAAGCTCAGGCTTTTTCTGCACACATAGTTCAAAGAAGACATGTATCAACTTTTCACTAATGCTTAAAAAAGGCTCATTTTAAACCTGGAAGAAAAAAAAAAAGCATCAAAATTTTGGACTCTTTTTAAAAGATGAACAAATACCTCTTCCGCTTCAGGAGCAACCTGGGGGTCAGTGATCTCATCTAATCCATCTTCAGCAACACAGTCTTCCTGCCCTCGCAGCCCCCGCCGCCCACAAGCCTGCAAGCGTTCTTCCTCCTGACAGCCGTTAAAGAGAAAATAAGTCCTCCTCATACAGCTCCGGGTCCTGAACGCACTTTTCGTCTTCACGACGCATGCTTCATTATTTCAGCAAACGTGACGAGGGCAGTCACCCCACAAAGCAGAAAGCAGGAAGCACAGGCAGCCGACGCGGCCTCGCCCGTGTTAATGCGACGGGGTGCGGCAGGCCAGCGCCAGGCTGAGGTCAGCGCCACAGCTCCGCTCCAGCCCCCGAGCGCCCCTCTAAGAGACAGCGGTCTCCAAGAGAAGGTGCCTGTGCTCGCACGGTGCGGCCCAGCAGCACGACGGGAGCCGACATCACACCCGACGTGCACCTTTTTTTTTTTTTTTTTTTTTAATTTATTTGTCAGAGAGAGAGAGAGCGAGCACAGGCAGACAGAGTGGCAGGCAGAGGCAGAGGGAGAAGCAGGCTCCCTGCTGAGCAAGGAGCCCGATGTGGGACTCAATCCCAGGACGCTGGGATCATGACCTGAGCTGAAGGCAGCTGCTTAACCAACTGAGCCACCCAGGCGTCCCCAACGTGCACCATTTTTACAGCAGTAAAAGGCAACAAAAGTATAAGCTGTTAATTCAACACGGGAGCTTCGTTAAAGATCGCGCTAGAATCTGCTTCTCCCTCAGCGCATCCCTTCAATCGGAGGGTGGTTCCAGCTTTGTGCGACACGTAAGGGGCACACCAGCCGCAGACATCCCTCGAAGGGCATATGGAAGGAAGCAGACAGCGGGCTCGAGATGGCTGCAAGAGAAGGAAGGGTTCCTACGCACGCTACGGTCAAGCAACAGGAACCTCTGGTCCTGCGCGGGGGAGCTGACCCTGCCAGCGTCCGCCGGAACAACAGCGGCTGCTTACAAGAAAGCGAGAGCGAGCACGAACAGAACCTGAGGCAAGCTACGGCGGGACACGGCCGCCGCAACTACAATCCCCGAAGAAACCAGCTGCGTTCAGGGGACAAACCATCGTCGGTCCCACAAGTGTCTCTCAAGGCTGCCTGAACACTGCATCTCACTCTCCAGAAGAAACCGTCCCGTCAAAAAGAGAAACTGTCACCCCTCACAATTCACTGCCAGAACGGTTGGACTTCGAGTGAGGCCAGTGACGGCCATCAGAATTCTCGGCTGAGACACAACGGAGAATATTCTGTGCCACTGGATCCTCCCCAAGAAACAAAACCCTGCTGCCCTTCCCCCGAGTGCCCAGTCTGAAACTGTTCTGACAGACCCATGTTTTATGGAATCTCCGTCTACAGGAACTTTAAAAACCCCGAAAAGATTGTGCTTAAAAGTATACATCCTCGACCATTTTCTCGTATTTTGTCAAATAATAAGGATCACTGTCTCTTAACACAAGAGTAAAAGTTTTTAAATCAAGTCCCAAGTCACTCTCAAGAAGAGGACTGGCAAAATTCACGAAACCCAAGGACCGTCGGGCTTCTGAGTCTACGAGGGAAGAACACGGGAGTCCCACGACCCTCTTCCGCACGCGGCCTCCGCTTCTTCACACGCCCACGTGCCCCCTGCAAGGGGCTCTCGGACTGCATTCCCAGTTATACGCAGAACCCAGCCACTCGGTTTCAGGAGTGCGCCCCAAAACACATTACGTGCTCACACTCAGCATGTCACCGAGCTGGGTCCTAGCTCGAGAGGCCAAGTTTACCATTCGGACCCAGGACACGACACACAGTGAATAAACCATCCGATACACTAAAATGCCACTGGGACCCACGGGCCGCCGCCCGCCAGCCCGCCTGCTGGGCTCCCGGTGAGGAAGCCCCTCCCGGCGCCGCGGGCACAGCCTGCGAAGGCCAGGAGCCCGCCCCGCTCCCCAGCCGGAGCCCCGCGGCGGCTGGAGGCCGGCTGGCTCTCCCCTGCGTCCGAAGACACGGCAGCGGCTCGCTCCAGCCCCGGCTAACGGCCATGAAGCCGCCACCCGACAGGGACAGGAAGGGAGAAGAGCGGCCGAGGCCGTGAGCTCCGGGCGCCGAGGTGCCTCACCTCTCCATATGGCTCCCTGTGAAAATACGAGGACGCTTTCAGAAATTCTAAGCAAAACTGCTGAAGACTTTTTTAAATTCTGAAACCAATTCTCATTTTGATGTGGGAAAGTACCGTGGGGTACCGAACGGCCGCACCGTTTTTCTTTCGGCTCGTAACTCCGAGACCACAAGACGTCGGAGAACTAAGTTGGATTTTATACCACCCGGAGCCTAAATGCAACCTCTTGTTTGACAATGGAACACAGGAGAGGGGCAGTCCTGACCTACCAGAATTCTCTGTACAACCAACTCGGCCAGGAGGCCGCAGTGAGAAACACCTCCAACACCGCACACGCACGCTGCCAAGCAGGCACCTTGCCCCGGGGTCTGCTCCCCCAAATTCTAAGTGCACGGAAGGCAGGGGCCACGCCTCGGGTCTCCTGTGTTAGCAAAACTGGTGCCCCCAGTGCCTGGACATCAGCACAGAAGTGCTGAACTGCTGACTCTACAACAAGGGAAAAGGACCCACACACCATCCACCGGTCACCTTCTCTTACCGTTACCAGGAGAAATAATAAAACGCTCTAACCAGGGAATAACTAGGTACATTTTTAAAAGATCTTGGCTTAATCTTTAAGAATCATTTTAAACGTATGGTACCCCACTCTTAAACAGTATACAAACGCACCAGTAAACCAGAAGAGAACTTGTCCACACCAGTGAAGGATTTATTACCAAAATAAACCATTACCGTTATCAAAAGAACAAGCAGCCATGACGCCTTTTACATGATTCTAGTTACCAAAACGACATTTTTTCATTATCGTATTATCTACTGAAGTGTCAGAAAGCATTCAAAGCAAATCAAATCTTAAAAATAACTACTGAGATAAACACAATTATGATTAGAAATAAATATTCTAGGGTTCCACTAAACAATCTCTTTCAAAATTACTCTCATTCATACATATGTATGACCCATGGCCAAAATTGAGATTTTGGAATTTTTTCTCAAAAGCAAGCTTCTTCTGAACAAAAACATTAAGAGATTAAAGGCAAAGCTACTACCCTAACTCTGCATGCCTCCACCCAGTCCCGGCAGCCCAGCAGACACACACCTCCTGGAGCTACAGTATCACGAAAACCCAAAGATTCTACCCATGGATATCAAGTCCTTCCCACACAAATGTCGTAAGTGCTATTTTAAAAACAAGTATCTTTTAATGATGAATCATTAAGACAGATGAGCAACCTTTCACTAGTACCTTTTGCTTTCTTGACAGTTCAATTTTAAAAATAGCCACCTATCAAAACCACCTTTCTGAAACAGAAATCAGCACAATCTTTGCTTCCTGATTACAGATAACAAATTATGTGACATTTCCAAAACTAACCTCCAATCTCTTTATTCATGTTGAGACAGTTCTCAGCTACAAAAAAGGATGAATGAACAGGACATCAATCACTCTGGAATATTAGCACCTGAAAGATGTCTTTAGCAGGTCAATAATCTTTTCACCTTGGAAGGACTTTATCAGATCTTGTCTAAAGCCTGGATAAAAGCCCTGCATTAAGTACTTCTAACAATTGACAGTGTATCTCCACCACACAAAGCTGTTTTCTTCCTTAAGGTGCAATCCTCAAGGTCAGATTCTGTGCAGCCTTCCAGAATGACAAAGGGGCATTACCTCCAGCCAAACAAGCTGTCAACACAAACTTTGTCATAGCTCAGATAAAGAAACTGGCAGACAGTGATAATAAGGTCTAATTTCCCTCGGTCCCGAGGGAGGGAAACAGATTTCAAATCAGTCTAGAAACCTCTGCCCAGGCAGCCATGCTATCTGCAGCCGCACAAAGGAGGGAGACTCACTGTGAACTCATCTAAAGGCTCATTGATCTCGATGTCCAGCACTTCGTCGCTGTACAGCTGCGCCTCCTCGGGCTCCTCCACATACTGCATGTGGTCGTCCGGCAGCTCGGCGTCCTGGCCTTCGTACTGCCCTTCTTCTGCGTAGTCGTGAGCGTACAGTTCGGAGCCGTCAGATTTGTGGTAGACAAGTTCGTCCTCTCCCTGTTCGTACTCGGACTCCTGCTCTCCAGACTGGTCGTTGGTGTTGTCAGACAGTTCGAACGACGTGACCATGCCCGACGTGGTATTTAAACTAATTGTGACACCCTGAGAACTAAAGAGAACAAAAATACAAAGAAAGGTGCCCAGTGAGAATCAATCTCACAACTGAATCACTACCTAAATAACCGTGACCGGTGAAAAGTTGTTCCAGGGACCGAGAAACCCGCATTACTCCACTGGTGACTGACAGGAGAGCTCGGCGTGCCGTACTGAGCCTGCACCCCACGCTCCTGACGCAGACGGCACCCGCACAACCGTCTGCTGCGGGTCACCTGCCCGAGAGAATCAGATCAGCCAGATGGGGAACCAAGTCTCACTGGCAGAACGCCAGGACTGGAAACAGACAGACCGCACTGCACTCTAACTTCCAGAACGAAAGGGTGGTATCTGTTTTCCAAGATCCCAGAGTAAAAACAGGAATAGTACTCTATAAATAGAACATCAGAAATTGAGTTTTAGAATAATTTGTTCTTATAAATCTATGATGCAAACTATAAACTCCTATTTTACAAAAATCAAAATATTATAGATGTATGTGAAAATGCACTTCAATATTCAAATAAATAAAATTTGTACAAATCACCAATTTCTAAAAAATTAGTTTATAATTTGAGTAAAATACCAAAGAGGGTTTTTTAAAACTGCAAAAAAAAATCTTTTTCCACCCATGGAATCAGAACAGCTACATGCCAAACAGTAAACAACTGCAAGAAAACAACACTTACAGTGCAAAATTTTGCAAAAACACCTAAGTGCACACGTATGAGTGAGGTACGTGATCCTAACCAGAAACCGCAATACATCACGCAGACCTGAAGACATTACTTGGCGAAAAACTCCAAACTGCCACATTTCGAGGGCAAACTTAACTACTCAAAAAATCAAAATATAATAATGATATCAAAGAATGGAACAGGGACACTTAAATAACTGGGAGAAAAAACTAACTTAAAACCGTATCTCTATCCATAAAAGTTACTTTCAGTGAGAAAGCCTGTCACAGATCTGTAGTTCAGTAATAAATGGCACATGTATTTATTAACTTCACTTATAGCTGAAAGATGTCTCTTTAAATTTTCACAATAAAGGTTTCCTCATTAACACTGAAAAAAATTACTCCACCTGCCAGAGGATACTAAATACCTCTTCCTCTAATAATGGAGCTTACTAGGTCAACAACAAAAAGACATTCATTGATCGCTGCGGACTGGATATCTGTGTCCCCCAAAACTCATCCTGCTGAATCCATAACACACCCAGGGTGATGGTACCTGGAGGTGGGACCTTTGGGAGACCTTTGGAAAGGTCATAAAAAGCTGGAGTCCCACTAATGGGATCAGTGCCTTTACAGAGAGAGCCCCAGGGAACTCCCTCACCCTTCAACCCTGTGAAGACACAGCAAGAAGGCACCACCCAAGAACCAGAAATTAGAAACTGACCACGCTAATGCCTTAACCTTGGACTTCCTAGCCTCCAAAAATGTGAGAAATGTATTTCTATTATGAACTACCCAGCTCATACTGTTTTGTTAAAACAGCCGAAAAAGACGAAAATAACTACATTCACTGAAACAATTACATTCAGAGAGTCTACTAGAGTCCAAGGTACAGTCCAGGGTCATCTTGGTGGCTCAGCTGGTTAAGCAGCTGTCTTCAGGTCACCATCTCATGGATCCTGGGATCCAGCCCCAAATCCGGCTCCCAACTCAGCAGGGAGTCTGCTTCTCCTTCTGCCTCTCCACCCCACCCCTCAGGTTCACATGCTCTCTCTCAAATAAATAAGTAAAATCTTAAAAAATAATAAAAATAAAGTATAGTCCAAAGGAATTTCCAAAATGGCAACTGAGTAAACAGATTACAGATAAGCAAAAACTGCCTAAAATAAAAAGCAGCCACATCAAACTGCAGCCAACAGTAGTAAGAGCCTAAGGCCACCGCCCCCATCCGAATGAAGGGATTCTTTAAAGAAGAGCAGTACAGGGGCACCTGAGCGGCCAGTGCTTAGGTGTCCGCCTGCCTTCGGCTCAGGTCATGATCCCAGGGTTCTGGGGTCGAGCTCCACATCGGGTTCCCCACTTGGCAGGGAACCTGCTTCTCCCTCTCCCACTCCCTCTACTGTGCTCCCTCTCTCACTGTCTCTGTCAAATGAATAAATAAAATCTTAAAAAAAAAAAAAGAAAAAGAGCAGTACATACCTTCACTGAGTTTTCATAACCTGCAGGCAAGAGAACTTACAGAGATCATCAAACACAAGACCCATATCTATTTACACAAAATACATATGGCTTCCACATAAGACAGGTATATTAATATCCTGCTTAAAATAAAATCATGTTGAAAATACAAAATCACATTATCAATTATATTCCATTATAATCATAAACTCCAGTTACTAACAATTTGGTTAAACAAAGAGAATGTCTGATGAGCTACTAAGGAATACCTGAAGTTCGCCTCGTCCTCATTGTCACTCTGCAAGAGGTCATCGTTCAGCTCTTCGTCCGACAAATCCGACTGGTTCTAATTAAAGTAAGAAATCGAATTAATGCGTGCCACTTCCACAAAAAGACTGTTACAGATGTGCAAAATCCCACTGACTATACTGTTTCCAGCCCTGTGATTAGAGCACGTGCCATTCCGTGAGCTACCGCACTTGGACACCACCAGCCGACAACGAGAAACCCCACGTACGGGTTACCTGTGACCCCACACAAACATTCAGAGGCAGAGTCAAGTCAGTATAGAAGCAACAGGCCTAATGATCACATTTATTCTAAATCTAACAAAAAAGGAAAAAGGAAGAGTCCTTGGCAGTATCCTACAAATATTTTTCCCTATCATACACACGAAAAAGAATGGTATCCTTAAGATTTGACTAAATTTGATTTTACTCCTAGATGGAATTTAAGAAACAGAGTAAGAAAAATGAAAAACTAAGAGACAAATCAAGAAACAGACTCTTCACTACAGAGAACAAACTGACACCGGAAGGGGACAGGGCAGGGAAAGGGGAGACAGGTGATGGGGGCTAAGGAGGGCACATCCTGTGATGAGCACTGGGTGGCGCAAGGAAGTGATGAACCACTACACTGTACCCCTGAGACTAATATTACACTGTATGTTAACTAACAGGAATTAAAATTAAAACTTGAAAAAAAATTTTTACTAATTTTAACACTGTTCGTTTCCAAAATCTGAAACTTAAAAAAAAAAGTAGAATTTTAGAAATAAGCCGATTTTAGGGGCGCCTGAGTGCCTCAGTTAGTTAAGCGTCTGCCTTTGACTTGCGTCCTGATCCCAGGGTCCTTGGGACTGAGCAAGGAGCTGGGCTCCCTGCTCAATGGGGAATCTGCTTCGTCCTCTGCCCCCTGCCTCTCCTTACACTCATGCCCTCGTCTCTCAAATAGAGAGACAAATAAAATCTTAAAAAAAAAAAAAAAAAAAAAAAAGGAGAAAGTAGATCTTAAATAACCAGATTGCCAGACTGAAAGGTAAGGGACGGCAACAGAGCTTCAGTTTGTTAACAGAGATGACACGCGGAGGCAAATATGCCAGGCTCAGGGCCCCACCCCTGCTCTCGACAGGCCTGTGCATTCATCCCACCAGCAGGCGGAGGAAGCTGAGTGTTTCTGTCAACTGCTCAACTTCCTACAGTTCCAGGTTTTGTTAAGGTGAATACAGCCCAGCATTGTACACTTACACGGGTGTCCTTCACACTCTGCTCCCGTATTCAAATTATTTTCAGACGACACATAAAGTACCACACCCCTCTAAAAGAGGCCCCCTGAATGCACACATAATAGGAAAAAAAGTAAAGATAGAAAAAGGAAAGAGAGACTTGATTTCTACTTAAAAATGAAACAAACAGGGGTGCCTGGGTGGCTCAGTGGGTTAAAGCCTCTGCCTCCGGCTCAGGTCATGATCCTGGCATCCTGGGATCGAGCCTCACGTCGGGCTCTCCGCTCGGCAGGGAGCCTGCTTCCCCCCCTCTCTCTGCCTGCCTCTCTGCCTACTGGTGATCTCTGTCTGTCAAATAAATTGATAAAATATTTTAAAAATATATGAAAAAAGAATATAAGGAAATAGATATGGCAAAATGTCATGAGGGCTTATATCTGTTTTTTTCTTCATCATTTCTTTTATATATAAATCTATTTGAGCTCTTTGACTCTACAAGCTATAGCATTAGGAAAGAAGAGGGGAGGAAAGGAGAGAGGAGTACACACGGTTCCCAATCAGACAAACTTCCCAGCTGACGGAAGTGGGTGCGGGCTCTCCGGCCGAGACAGAGCCCTCTCGCGCTCCTGTTCCGTGGGAAAGGAGGCCAATCACACCGATCAACTAGTCCAGTAAGAGAAAGTGAGATGACTTTCCCAGAAGAGTCAGCATTACTGTCCAAACCAAACTGTGCTTTTCCATCTTTATTGGTAAGAGACCTGACCAAAGCTTTCACAGGATGGAGACAAATGTTCACCAAAAGGAATTATTAGGGCTGGTGGGTCACTCTGACAGATATGGGGCAAACTACGCTGCCCCAGGCTCACCAGAGGATAGAAATCCAACTCAGGTAAAAATATCTTACCACATTTAAACATTTTAACATCTAATGGTATTCTTCACTGAAGTATCTTAAAGAATCACAAAGGGGAAAACCATGTTCATATTAGGGCAGTGAATTCCCAAGTTCAGTGACAGCACTTCAAAGACGTGCAAAGTAATTAGCACTGAGTCTCAAAGAAAACAGCAGCACTTTTCCGGGGCCGTAACCTTGGAAGGACTAGCCCTGCACCCCAATCACACGAAACATGCAGGGCACCCTGAGGCCGGAGAGTGAGCCCCTCAAACAAGGGAAGGCTAAGGGACCATCTCACAGGTTTTCCACTTTCAGCATTTTGACATTTCCTCATGAGACCAAGTGGATCTACAGGGAACTCCACTAATTTTTTCTTTTTTTAAAGATTTTATTTATTTATTTGACAGAGATCACAAGTAGGCAGAGAGGCAGGCAGGGAGAGAGGAGGAAGCAGGCTCCCCGCTGAGCAGAGAGCCCAATGCGGGGCTCCATCCCAGGACCCTGAGACCATGACCTGAGCCGAAGGCAGAGGCTTTAACCCACTGAGCCACCCAGGCGCCCCAAACGACCACAATCTTAAGACTTTAAAAAACTAAACATAAAAAACTTACCATATTTAGTATGAATAGCAAGTGTTTTTAAACTGTTAACAAAATAAAAATTCACTATTTTCACTTTAATCTCTGGATTTGTGTTTCTATTTTTAATGTATGTTTTATAATGCTATCGGTAGAGTAATATAATATTTTATGTATATATATTACTACGTGTAATATACATACATTACACATAGACATTATATACAGATACACACGTATCAGAGTTAATTACTGAGAAGTTTTGCTTGATCAAAAAGTTTCAGAGAAACCTGTATTAGGTTTTAGACTTTTATTCTCATTTGTGTCACATCTGAGTATAGCTATCTTCGAGCTTATCTCCAGAGTTTCAAAAAAGGAATGCAAACTATTAGCCTCCAAATGTTAGTTTTCTTGTGAGCGAGTGGGGGTTCTATGTTGCGGTTTTCACAAACTCAACACCTCCTAGAGTGCCTTGGACTGAGTGAGAGCAAAAATATTTGCATGAAAGGACCAACCACTTGAGGTAGAAGTTACTGTTACAAACGGACTGAACAAAAAGGAACCTTTCTGTGCATTTAAAAGATGATTCAATTCCCAACACTGTGATCTGCACCCAACCTTCCAGTACCACATCGCATTCATGAGATATATCCCTGGATGTTCAGTACAATGAGGCTGCTGGAGGCCGGTTTCTGGAAGACCTCGGTTTCTTACCTTTTTGCCAGACAACAAATCTTCTCCAAGTAAGTCATCTTCAAGTTCGCTGGGGAGAAAGAAAAAAAGCCCAATGCATTATTCCTACAACGCTGGAAAGTCTGCAAATCACTGGGAAATCTCGGGACTTCAGGGTGTGGGTACTTTCCTGCTTAGTCGGCTTCGCTTCCCTTTTTCTTTGTTAATACTGAGAACATTTGCAAACGTATAGGGAACATGTGGTCTTTTAAGTGTGGGAGGCTCTGCGAGAGGAGATGGCTCTCACTAGACTTCTGATGTCGGTTTTTCACGTAATAGGAGACCTCTATTTCTTGGACCTGTTCAGTAATCAGTCAAAGAAGGAACTCCAATAGGTAACATCTATGCTTTCTCCTGCCTTGAAAAACCTATCCACCATCGTTAACTAGGAAAATTAAGACCAAAACCAGAGACCATCTGACACTCATCAAACGGCAAAACCGGAAAAGATGAAGAAGAAAGAAAAAAAAAACACCAAAAACCAAGGCTGATGAGAGCATACAAGTAAATGATCGTGACTAACAGAATTATCTCCGTAAAACACGGCAAGTCCTTCAGCAGTCTGAAACTGTCCTGTCTTATGTCCTGAAGTGATCAGGAGTACATCATTCACAATTGAACTCAAAACCCTTACCAGATCAAAAAGCTAAAGAAATTTCCCACTGTATGTACTGGGGGGGTGGGAGGGTTGGTGAAGATGGCTACCACTGAACTATATTCTTAGCGCTGGGGAACCCAGTGTCTTAGGAACAAATGCCTTTTAGGGACAACATCTAGAAGGAGAACACAATCAGACTAGGCTTCCAGGTGCAAATGCACCAAGATTCTTATTAGGGCTATTAATTTTTTTATAAGCACTCTGGTTACAAATTTCTGTAGGTTTGGGGCACAACTTCATCCAAAAACCGTGTGCACTCATAGTGTGCTACTTTGCAGAATACCAGAATACACAGGAATGCCTCCTGGACTTGGAACAGAAATGCCTGTTTCTATACACCGCCTTTTAGAACCAGAAATAACTCAACAAATCTTTTCATTCCTGCACTGAACACCTTTTTGTTATCTTGTTACTCTCTATAAATCCTCTACCTTCATTTTATAGATAAAGAAAACAAGGGTAAGCGATTAAATAACTGTCCAAAGTCACGCAGCAGGGACAGACCCAGGACAAGAAGTTACCCATGGGGAAAATCTTCCACACACCTGTATGAATAAGACGACTAGCAGAGAATAACACGTAACTTCCTCCAGCATTTCCACAAATCCCCTTAATCAGTTTCAGATACAATGTCTGCATCTTCAGTGTTAAAATCATCTTCTGTGAGTGAGGAAAAAAGGACCTAGTCACCATACTGACAGGAGCCCCATTTGAGAACGGATTCTAGATGACCAAAACAGACACCCTCCCCTTTGCAGACATGCACCCATGCCAGGCCACCACTCAAAATAACTGAAAATGAAAGGCAACAGCATCCGCCCAGGGGATACGGCCAACTCTGAAAACCAGAATACAAAAAGGCGTTGGTAAATATACAAGCAAAAATCTAGAAGCTTCTCTGTAATGTTTGCTAACAAGGAATGTATACAGAAGTCAGAAATCAGTCTTTGATGACCACCTATTCTTCCTAAACAAGAGCATTTTTAAAAAGAAGATAAAGCATCGCTGACGGTGCGAGTGAGTGGAGTACTCGGAGACTGAGAACAGCTGCTTCCGCGACTACCAAAGACAACAGCGGGACGGGAGACAGGAGGGGTAGGTCCACACAAGCACTACAGACATCAACTGCAGCTCACGAAACCGTGAACACCCACTTAGCACATCGTGTGCAAGAGCCCCTCCAAGTGCTTCACGCGTACTAGCTCTTTTGCTGGCGTGACAACCCCGTCACGTACATATTTACATTATCCCATTTTTCAAAATGTGAAAACAAAGACACTGACATGTTAAATACTTGGCTCAAGGTCACCCACCTAGGAAGCGGCAAAGCCAAAAGGTGAACCTTGAGTGGCTCTAGCTCCAGGGTCCAAACCCTAACTACTACGCCCAAACCCCACACAGAGAGCAAATGCACGTCCCTACTGTCCTCCCCTGCTAGACCCTTACAAAAGACGTGTGCAAAAGGAAAGAAAGTTATAAAATACAAAGCACTACCAAAAGCACACCAACTGTCACCAAAACCAACAAGGGACTTGTGGGAGTGACCAGCCCAATCAGGCCCGCGCACAGAGCCGGGCCGCAGCGCCCCGCCGCTTAGGGCGGCCGTGTGGTGTGCGAGGAAAGCAGCGCAGCGCAGCGCCACTGAGGGGCCTTCTGGACTCAGCTGCGAGACCCCTCAGGCCCTTGCCCGCCCTCACTGCCTCAGAGAGAACCACCTCTCTGGCAGCCGTTCTGACCCAGGATTCGGGACAGTCGCTCTCTGAGAGCAAGTTCACTCTTACTAGCAAACAGGTGCGCCCGGACAGACGCTTTCAGGAAACGAGCATTTTGTGGTCAGCCTCGGGGCCACAGCTTTTCAAAACCGCAAGTGTGAGTGACAGCAACCCCTGTACGCAGTCCGTGCCCCCCGGCGAGCCTCCCTCTCCAGGCCACCCTCCTCCGGTCTCTGCCAGCTCCGTTTCCCTGGAAGCTTTCTCTGGGAAGACTCATGCAGGCTCTCCTGGTCTTTGCTTCTGGATGGCCCTGGCCCACGGGATGACCCAACAGAAGAGAGACTGCCCCTCCCCGCTACCTGCACAGTCCAGTCCCACCCACTGCCACCACTGCGACGGCCACTGGGCTCTAGGACACCCCCTCTTCCCCCCCCAGGCCCGCTGCTCCGCCCACCGCACCAACTCTTCCTGCTTCCCTGACCCTGTCCTGCGCGCAGCCCCGTCACCCAAGGACTTCCGGTCAGAGCCCCGACTACGCCATCTTTCTCCAGACACGCACTGACACAGGCACATCCTTCAGAAAAACGTAAAAACTTCAGGTGTTGGTGCAACAATGGCACCAGCTTCTTCCAAATGTACCGTTAATGCAACATCGTGGCAAGAGCTGGTCAGAACAATTTCTGACTCCCTCTTCTCAGCGTTCAAATTTCTCCCTCTACCATCCAGTATATGGAAGAGGCTGTTTAATGCTTTTAACATATAGAAGAAACTCACTGAAGGTGTATGGAGAGAGGAAGCACGTGCTGGTGAGCAGCGCTGGGACAGCGGCTGTTCACACCAGGACGGACAGGAAAAACCGGAGCCTGCCTCACATCACCACCAAGCCCAGTTTCCACCAGCGCAGGAAGCCGACTCACTTCTTGACAACTGCAAGTCCCACTGACCAGACAGGAGAGCGGTTCACATACTAATGAAAATAACAACTGCGATGAAGCAAAATACACGTGTAGTATTTAAATCTGTTAGTTCGGGGGCACCTGGGTGGCTCAGTGGGTTAAGCCGCTGCCTTCGGCTCAGGTCATGATCTCAGGGTCCTGGGATCGAGTCCCGCATCGGGCTCTCTGCTCAGCAGGGAGCCTGCTTCCCTCTCTCTCTCTCTCTGCCTGCCTCTCTGTCTACTTGTGATCTCTCTCTGTCAAATAAATAAATAAAATCTTTTTAAAAAAATAAATAAATAAATAAATCTGTTAGTTCGAAAGGATTCAAGAACAGGACTCCCCTTCAGAGGCAGCTAAGGAACTGAGCCACTACTTTGAAAACTGGTGCACCGAAGTAAGGAATCGAGCCTGGCACTTCAGAGGAGTCCAGCAGTCTGCAGAAGGTCACTCGGGTCACCCCTCCTCCTGCCCATTTTCCAACCTAACCCCATCAACTTCTAGACCTGCTAACTCACAGAAAATGAAGGAAACGAAAGAACCCACTAACACTCCAGGGGGCACAATCAGCAAAAGCAGAAACTCCACAAGACAAACCACCTTGTTTCTTCAAAAAGTTGCAGAGAACTAAGACAAAGATGCATGAAAACCTGCAGATGAAACATCGGTCGGAAAACCGGCCTGTCAGATGCCATCTAGGACCTGCTGTGGACCCCACAGGCGGCACAGAGCATACAAGACCCACACCCACACCGTGCCGTGTGTGCGACGCACTGATACTTACATGAGACCAGCAGTAATAAAACACTGACATTCAGAGAGTTTTTCAAAATATAATTCTATTACAGTTGTCTTTGTAAAGCCTTTACTTTTTAGAGACACAATCTGAAATATGTTCAGATGAACTTGTGTCTGTGATAGGAGGAGGGTTGCAAATTACAGATAAAACAAGACTGACTTTGTACCAATAAATGTTGAAGCTGAATGATGCTACACTGTACTATTCTATTTTACATTTTCTTGAAATTCTCAGTAAGTTGAAAATCAATCAATTTAATCAAGTTCAGGCAAATTATGTATCTTAACTATAAAAAATAAATAAAAACACTTCACAATTTTCATAGGAACATGCGAAACATACCAGCACACAGGGTAGGGAAGAATTTGATAAGGACAGATAGTGGAAAGCACCTTCACCACACGCATCCGTAAGTGATGCCCTCAGGAAGGCCACAGCCTTGGCGACAAGAGTCCTGACCAAATACACAACTAAGATCTAGTTCTGCAGAGACACCTGCAAATCCGTGCTGAGCCTGGGTCTACTAAATAGAGAGCCTGTCCTCTTCAAAAATGTCAAAGTCATAAGAGACAAGGATACATAATTCTTCCAGATGAATAAAGAACAAAATGCACTCCATGATCCCGCACTGAAACTTGAACCAGAAAAAAAGAAACTCATTTTCGGCTATAGCACACTTTCAGGAAAACCGTCAAAACCGTCAAAAACTGTACATTAAAAAACACAATTCTGTGTTTGTTAACTTCACGACTGTGGAACGCTCCCGTGGCTAAGTAGGTGAGTGCCCCTGTTCTTGGGAAGCACGCCAGGAACACCACATGCTGAGGCACACAGGAAGCACATGGCCTGATGCCCTCAGACCACTGTGCAGGGCCGGAGCAGGGGGACACTGGTGAGAGGGTGTGCAGAGGACACAGAGGACAATGG